TAAAGAATTACAACCAGGGCAAACACTGTAAAAAATACCCTGTAAAAATTACAACCAGGTTTAAACACTGTTAAAAATACCCTGTAAAGAATTACAACCAGGTTTAAACACTGTTAAAAATACCCTGTAAAGAATTACAACCAGGGCAAACACTGTAAAAAATACCCTGTAAAGAATTACAACCAGGTTTAAACACTGTTAAAAATACCCTGTAAAGAATTACAACCAGGTTTAAACACTGTTAAAAATACCCTGTAAAGAATTACAACCAGGTTTAAACACTGTTAAAAAAATGTCATTAGACAACCCTGTCAATCAACAACACACTGTAAAAGAAATGGATTCTTCAGATGTTTTGACTCACCTGAAGTCTGACTTCCTGTTCCACTTCCTGTCTCATTACCTCTCTGATCAGCTGAATATCAGCACTCTGCTGACTGTCGTCACGGCAACGCCACACATCTGGACACACAGAAACAGGAAGTGTCTGTGAGTGTGAGAACCTTTATTTTCTCAGGACAAGACAGGAAGTGTTTGGATCCACAAACGCACTGTAAAAAAAAACTGATCCAGGTGCAGCCGACTGACTTCCTGCTGCTGACAGCTCCACTTCCTGTTTGTAAATGTCACTTCCTGTGTCAATCTAATCCAATCAGAGAGCAGCTGGTCAATCGGATCACACGATCAATAAGCAAACAGCGAAATTAGTTTATTTACGATTGAAGATATAACGTTTTAAATAAGGTTTTATTTTAAGTGATCATCTATTGATTTTATTTTGTTGAAGCTCCTCCCCCTCCTCCTCCTCCTCTTCCTCTTCCTCCTCCTCCTCCGCCTCCTCTTCCTCCTCCTCCTCCTCCTCCTCCTCTTCCTCCATATTGTGGGTAATGGTGTCCGAGCAGGAAACAGGAAGTTGAACCCACGCAGGAGGAAGTGAGAGCAGCTGGGAAACATTGAATCTGTAACTTTATTGTCACAAACAGGAAGCAAACAAACAAAAGAACCTCAAACTGATCTGAGACCAGATCCCAGACAAGACAGACTTCAACAGACCTGATCTGTAGACCTGGATCGGGTCTGTTGTCATGGAAACTGACCTGAGTAGATTTTGTTTCCTTCTACGACTTCAGACAGGAAACAGCAGAGAGGTCCTCCTACAACAGAACACAACAGACCACAACAGACCACATCAGACCACAACAGACCACATCAGACCACATCAGAACACAACAGACCACAACAGAGCACATCAGACCACATCAGAACACAACAGACCACATCAGACCACAACAGAACACAACAGACCACAACAGAGCACATCAGACCACATCAGAACACAACAGACCACATCAGACCACAACAGACCACATCAGACCACAACAGACCACATCAGACCACAACAGAACACAACAGAACACAACAGACCACAACAGAACACAACAGACCACAACAGAACACAACAGACCACAACAGACCACATCAGACCACATCAGACCACATCAGACCACAACAGACCACAGGGGTATTGCACAAAAGTAGGATAAAGAAATCCAGGATAATTGAGCAAGCGCGGCTTGACCTAGCCTGCTCGGTGCATCCTGGCTTAATTGGTTGCACGTTTGCCGAGCCAGGATTAAAAGGTGCGGCTATGTTAAGCCAGGTGTAGATAGTCGGGATAAGTGCGTGTTCACGGCATACTGAAATAGACCTCGCGATCGCTCACAGAATCACCGATAGGAACATGGATAAGCTGAACAACAGCTGCTGATGGAGTTCTATGAAGAGGTGGAAGATATCATAAGAAAAAAAGGCAATACCAATGCCATAATGAAAGAAAGAGAGAAAGCCTGGCAGACAATAGCTGACCGGCTTAATGCTTAAGTAGTCCAAAACTGTACAATGAATAAACAGTGCTCCACTGGAACTGTCATCATTAGGCTCCAATTAAAGGACTAAAGGAGTTACTTTAAGTCCACTAATCAACTGTTGTACACTTTGCTTTAAATGTGGCAAGTAGAGGTGCATGTTACTTAAATGTAAAGTATGATTAAGTGCAAACAATTATCCACAATGTGTGTCATTTAATTTATTTTTATCTATTTTATCTTTCTATCCTTCATAAAGAACAAACTTGTCTGGCCATAAAAGGACCTGGCAGCAAGTTAAAGTTAAATACAAGAACATTTTGCAGGCTGGTCAGTGACTTTAAAGTAGATAACAGTGAATAAATGAGGTGAATAGATTAGGTGTCTGCTGACATGTTGAATGTCTGTATGATTGTAGCAGTTTAATAAAAAGCCCATAGAACTGGCACAGGGGGGCCCACCAAGCCAGGATATGTGCTGCAAATGGTTCCTTTATTGAGGTTCTCTGCATCCCCAACAGAATAAAGGAAGCTCCCACTTGCAGAACATCTCACTGTAACACAGACCATCTGTGGTACAGTGAGAACATGGCTTCCTGCCGTCTGGTGCTGTATTTTTGGACCCAGCAGCCTACATAAATATCTTAGTCCATCACCTGAGAATCTGTATCTCTCAATGAGATAGTCCTCTCCAACAGCCAATGGGTCTGACCTGTCCCAGAAGACTCTTTCATGACTAAATGCTCGTCTGAGGATTAGGGCTTCCTCATCCAGTACATCCTCCAAGAAAGGGCAAGCCATTATGAAGAGGGAACAGGTGTGAATAATATATATATATATATATATATATATATATATATATATAGATATATATGTGTGTGTATATATGTAGTGTGTGTGTGTGTGTGTGTATATGTATATTATGGCATGCCGTTTAGGAAATTAAGCTTTGAATATATAGAATGAAACTTTGAATATATAGAATGAAACTTTGAATATATGGAATGAAACTTTAAATATATAGAATGAAACTTGACTGGTCATCAAGGCACTGCTGCCATCTTGTAGAAGTGAGAATGAGTCAGTCAGGAACCTTGTGGCAGCAATACTGCCATATTCCATATATTCAAAGTTTCATTCTATATATTCAAAGATTCATTTCAAACTTAAACGGCATGCCATAATATATATACTATATTGCCCTTGTCACAGATTTCATTGAAAACAGCTTTGCAACTTCATCAGCTGTGTTTTGTAATCTCAATTACTGCAATAAACACATATTTATGCAATTTGACAAGCAGTCTTCATTAGCATAGCAATATAACACTTGTCCTGAGTAATAATACTACCACTTGAATCAATATAAAAAGACTGTTGCAATTACAAACAGCCAACAGATTTAAATGAAATGAGAAATTACAATATATATGTAATATTTTAATGCAGGATAATTAAAATGATGCAACATACATAGAAAGACCATGGACATGCTGTAAAACACATTAATTCCTCACAGGATTGACGATGGAAATACAGGAGAATCACTAGGATTAATCTTAGCCTGGCTGTTAGCCTGGTCTGGAGCAGGCTAGCTGCAGAGAATAAATCACCATAGTAACTTGGCCGGGATAAGTTTAACCTGCTTTCATGCAACCGACTTGAGGCTAAATTCAGCCAGGATAACCAACATATCCCGGGTTAATCCCTTATCTTGGTTTTGTGCAATACCCCTCAGATCAGACCACATCAGACCACACCAGACCACTGCCCTGCATCTACAGCACTGACCACTGCCCTGTATCTACAGCACTGACCACTGGCCTGTAGCTGCCCTGTACTCTGTAACTTGTTATTATTGTCGGTAGAATTGTATGAATTGTTACACACACACCGACACACACACACACGTGTAATGTTGATTTATGTACAATATTCCCAAACTGAGTTGGAATCCAATTCAGCACTGTAGAGCTATGACCCGTTCAGTGCATCAGGCCACGCCTTCAAAAGTTCTGTAACCAATTACAGATAAACAATAATAGATAGGTCTTGTTTGGCTTAATCTGAATAATGATTGTAGTGATTCTGGTGAAGACTGGATCAAATATGTAAGACATTTATAATCACTGTGGACTCATGGTTTGACCGATCTGAGCGCTGTGAAAAACCTATAATATCTGCAACACTAATAATATATATAGTATTATTAATATATATACTAATAATATATATATTAATAATACTATATATTAACACTATATATATATATAAACCCATATAAAACATATTTAAACTCTACTTGTACAAAGTCAAGACTTTCTAATGTATTATTTTATCAGACTTTTTTATTATTGATGAATTGATTATTGATTACTTCCTGAGTCATTTTCAATGACTAACTTATATGCAGCCAATCACAGCTCAGCATTTCACGGTCTGCAGGAAGTGCAGGTCCGCTGTCATGGAAACACTCACACACCTTCAGCTCGGAAACGTCACCGTCACAAATCACAGCTCACCTGTGTGACGTCATCGCGGGACTGAGACAGAGACCTGGTGCACGTGGCGAACCTCCAGATCCCAAAACCATCCACAGGGACCACAGGGAACCACTAGGAACCACTAGAACCACTAGGAACCACTAGAACCACTAGGAACCACTAGGAAGTACTAGAACCACTAGAACCACTAGGAACCACTAGAACCACTAGGGAACCACTAGGAACCACAGGGAACCACTAGGAACCACTAGGACCCACTAGAAACCACTAGGAACCACTAGAAACCACTAGAACCACTAGGAACCACTAGAAACCACAGGAACCTGATCTGGTTTCACTGGTTTCTTCCTCTCATGCTGGGAGAGTGCTCTGCAAGGATTTATGTCCTCCTCCTCCTCCTCCTCCTCCTCCTCCTCCTCCTCTTTATTTGTTTGTTTGTTGAAACTTTATTTAAAATGTTTATTCTTCACATTTTAGGAACTGATTGTTTATATTTGAACTTTTAATCTAATAAAACTAAAGAATCTCTCACACTGAAATTAATGCGCGCTGTTTTTTGGCTCTATTTTACGCACATCCCTCCGCAGGATCTGGACGTCACGCATCTGTAGCGCTTTTGTTTGCGCATTAAACGGAGCTCCGCACATCCTTCAGCTTCATTGTCCCGCAGCTGAAACCGCAATAAATCACCGCAGAGCTGCTCTCTGTGGGCGTTCCTTCTTCTCTCTCTGCTGCTTGTAAAACTGCAAACACAAGGGGGACTTGCTCAGTCCGCCTCACAGTCTCCACTGACTGAAACTGCCCCAGGACGTGGATTTATCCGGGACCAGCCTGTGGAGCTGCACACTAACTCTCCTGTTGGACTTGTGAGTGCTCTCAACTCTTTAAACGGCCACAATCTGAATGGAGTTTGACTCCATCTCGCATGTTTCTGCAGGTAGACTCGATTCGTTCCGCTGTCCGCCAGACTCCCTTTAAAAATGTGTCGTTTTTAAAGTTTTCACAGGCAGGCAAATGTACGTGCTTCTGTGGGAAACCTATCAAATGTTTTTGGTAATCAATAATGTCCTCTAATGTGTTCGGCTCTTAAATGATACAACAAACATCAATATTTGACTGATGTTGCAGTAAGAAAGTTATAGAGTGCATCACTTTAGTAATAAATACGTTATAAACTCTTTACAAACAATCTGGTCCGATGTTTGTCACTGTGTAAAGACTACAAGTCGGACTCCCTTTGGAAATGTGTCGTTTTTAAAGTTTTCACATGCAGGTGAATGTGAATGTTTGTAGGAAAACTGTTGAATGTTAGAAGTAATCAATAATGTCCTCTGATGTGTTCGACACATTAGTCTTCATATTTTAATCTGATTTCAGCTCCTAATCTTAAAGTTTTAAACTTCTTCCAAAGTGATCCAGATACTGAAACACATCTTTAAATCTAGAGATTTTTAAACGGAGTTCGGCGTGTCCGTCACTGTCGTTGACGGTGTATTAGGGTCACACTGCTGGTTTTTATGGTGCGTTCAGGAGCCAACAAACTGGTTTGAAGTTAACATAATCAGTTCGTGAACGCACCACAAAGAGTAGCATCAACATATAAAACTGAATAACTACATACGTTTATTTTGAAAGTTTATCAATTAAAATAAATTAAATATAATAAACATTAAAGAATTTAGTTTGAAAGGATCATCTGTCTTCCTCCTCCTCGACTCAGCCACTAATTGTCTCTCTGGTTCATCTCGACAGTAAACTTTTATTTTGAAGGTCGTGACCTTTCAGTTTAAAGTCTCCTGTTGAGTTTTTGTTTTAGACTTTGGTCCAATAAAACTGAGTCCTCTTCCTCTTTTGTTTCCTCCTCCTCTTGCTCCCAGTTATGAGCTCAAAAAGAAACTTTGAATTTACTATCTTATATTTCACAATTAAGATTTCTTACTTGTTTCTCTATGGGAACACATTATAGATTCCTTAAATCAAGAGATTTCTGAATGGAGTTTGGTGACAACGTGATAATTCTGCCCTCAACAGATATTAAGTTATATTGAAATCAATCACGTTATTAATTAATGGTTAATAATTATATTAGTTTGTTGATGGAAACAGGAAGTTGAAGCACTTTGTGTAAACCTTCAGATTTATGTCCTCCAGTATTGATCTCAGTATTGATCTCAGTATTGATCTGGGATTATCACTTCCTGCTTATTGTTCCATTCGTCTGTTGTATGAATGAAGTCTGGATGGTTTCACCTCCTCTGTCCTCCGTATGTCTGTACATCTGTCTGTCTGTCTGTACGTCTGTACGTCTGTCTGTGTGTGGTCTCACTACAACCAACAGTCTGTGAGTTTTATTACCTGCACTCACAGAAGCTTCATTGTAAAAATAACGTCAATAATCAGCAGCTGAACTAACAGAAAATAACTCCTAAAAATAAAGTTATTTTCTGTTTTTAGCTTTAATTTGACATAAAATCTGTAATTGTTTTGTCTTTTTAATGTTTAATTAAAGATATTTAAACTGTTGAACAATGAGCTATAAATACATTTGCAGCAGACGGCTATTATTATTATTATTATTATTATTATTATTATTATTACAATAATTATTGCTGTTTACACTGATAAAAACTGTATTTGGACAGTTTATAAACAACATTTATTCAATAATAAAAAGAATAATAGTTGTAAATAAGGAAATTACAGATATTCAAATTTCTTTTAATAATAGAAGAAGAAGAATTTTATTTATTTCATTTTACAGTGTTTAACTAACAATAATGTTTATTATCAGTTCGTCTGGGTGGACTTTTTTCAGTTAATCAATTAATTGATTGATTGGTGATAAACACATTCATCATGTTTGAATGTTTGTCAACAGCCAAAGTCTGACTGGTTGTGTTACTGATTTAATAATAAATAAATAAATAAATAAAGCGCCCTGAGGCAGAAGACCCTTTAGCATACAGGAAGTAATGTAATAATTATTAATGAGTCTTCCTGTCTTCCAGGTGTTGAGCTCGCCGTCATGAGCCTGAGCGCCAACGACCTCACCGAGCTCATGGAGCTGTGGGAGGAACTAAACCTGACCGCCGTCGGCGACCACTACAACCTGTCCCACGTGGAGACGCTGCTGTGTTCAGGCGCCGTCAGCCACGCCGCCTTCCTACACGTCCTCTCCGTCCTCTACATCTTCATCTTCCTGGTGGGCCTCGCCGCCAACGCCCTGGTGGTCTGGGTCAACCTGCGCACTGACAGGAACCGCTACGAGACGCACCTGTACATCCTGAACCTGGCGGCGGCTGACCTGTGCGTGGTGGCCACACTGCCGGTGTGGGTGACCTCCCTGCTGCAGGGCGGGGGCTGGCCCTTTGGAGAAGCCGTCTGTAAACTCACTCACCTGGTCTTCAGTGTCAACCTCTTCAGCAGCATCTTCTTCCTCACCTGTATGAGTGTGGACCGCTACCTGTCCGTCACGCTGTTCGCCAACGCCCCCGACAGCCGCAGGAAGAAGGCGGTTCGGCGGCTGATCTGCATCCTGGTATGGCTGCTGGCACTGGCGGCCTCCGTCCCTGACACCTACTTCCTGCAGGCGGTGAAGTCGCCGCATTACGACGGTGCCGTCTGCCGGCCGGTGTACCCGCCCGACAACCCTCGAGGGTGGATGGCGGGAGTCCAGCTGAGCTTCATCGTGCTCGGCTTCGCCATCCCTTTCCCCGTCATCGCTGTCTTCTACCTGCTCTTGACGGCGGCGATCCCTCCCAGCTCGGACCAGGAGCGCCGTGTCAGTCGGCTGCTCATCCTCGCCTACATCGTGGTCTTTCTGGTGTGCTGGCTGCCGTTCCACGCCGTTCTCCTGCTGGATACCCTGTCGCTGCTCAACATGCTTCCCTTCAGCTGCCAGCTGGAGAACTTCCTGGATGTGGCACTGCACCTGACGCAGTGCTTCTCGCTGGTCCACTGCTGCATCAACCCCGTCCTGTACAACTTCCTCAACAGGAACTACCGCTACGACCTCATGAAGGCCTTCATTTTCAAGTACTCCACCAAGACCGGGCTCGCCAGGCTCATCGACGGCTCTGAGACCGAGTTCTCAGCAGTGGACAACAGCCTCCCAAACTCGTCTTAAGACTTATTGTTCCTTGAAGCCACGACCCTTCTTCGTTGTTCCTGGTGGATCCATCTTGGACCACATCAGCACCCTGAGAGTCCACCAACCCGAGAGTCCACCACCCTGAGAGTCCACCACCCTGAGAGTCTAACACCTTGAGAGTCTATCAGCCTGAGATTCCACAAACCTGAGAGTCCACCACCCTGAGAGTCCAACACCTTGAGAGTCCAACACCTTGTGAGTCTACCACCCTGAGATTCCAACCCCCTGAGAGTCCACCACCCTGAGAGTCCAACCCCCTGAGAGTCCACCACCCTGAGAGTCCAACCCCCTGAGAGTCCACCACCCTGAGAGTCCAACCCCCTGAGAGTCCACCACCCTGAGAGTCCAACCCCGAAGTCCAACCCCCTGAGAGTCCACCACCCTGAGAGTCCACCACCCTGAGAGTCCAACACCCTGAGAGTCCACCACCCTGAGAGTCCACCACCCTGAGGGTCCAGCACCCTGAGGACTTCTGGAGAACATGAATCCATTGGCTGGATCAGTTTCAAAATAAAAACTGTGTTTCTGGGACTGTGTTGACTTGTGAGGACCTTCAAAACCATGAAAACTAGTTCCTGTTAGCCAACAGCTAGCTAACCTGGTAAAATTATCTAACGTTTGGAAAGCACAGCGACGTAACGATGTGGCTTTATGGTACCCCCTTTCCACCAAAATGAACCTAGTGCTAGTTCTGGTTCTAGTTCTGGTCTGGTACTAGTTCTGATTCTAGTTCTCGTTCTAGTTCTGGTCTGGTGCTAACGCTGGTTCAGAGTTGGTTCAACTTCAGAACCGGTTCTTCCACCGGCTGCGTCAGTACATCACTGTACGTCTCCAGTGTTAGCTATTATTAAATTTATCACATTGACCTCTGACCTCGAACAGTCCTGATCGTCAGAACTTTAGTTCACCGCCACATAAAACCACAGAAGAAGAGTGGTAACAGGTAAATGTTTTGGCTGTATGTAAATATGTTGATACCTTTAAATATTTTATATAATAATAATAATAATAATAATAATAATAATATGTATATGTATATGTATATAATGTTTATCATGTATATAATGTATAAATATAATGTTTATAATATGTTTGTTTTAATGTTTCCTGTTGGAGTAAAATGTTAAATGTGTTTAAATCTCAGATACTGGTTCACCTGCGATCAATAAATCTTATTTATTCCCACAGTCTTCTCTTACTGAAAGAATACCCTTTATCTTTATAGATTAATGATCAGAATACACTGTATCTTTATAGATTATTGATCAGTATACACTGTATCTTTATGGATGATATTGATCAGTATACACTGTATCTTTATGGATGATATTGATCAGTATACACTGTATCTGTATGGATGATATTGATCAGAATACACTGTATCTTTATGGATTATTCAGTATCACGTACTGTATGGACATATTGATCAGACACGTTCTTTGGGATGACAAACTACAGGATATTGATCAGTATACACTTTAGCTCTGTGGGTTTTTTTTTTTTTTTTTTTTTTTTTTTTAAAATATTTTTTTTTTTTTTTTTAAAATTAAATTTGGGAAAAATGGCGGCCCTTTAGCTCGTGTTTCTAGAGTTACGTGTTGTTATGAACACGTTAGGAATTGTTAAAATGTGATATTTCTTAAAGGGAGTTTGGTGCAGGGAGCTTTTAGTTGGATTCAAACTGCTGATATGGATCATTGTTAACGTTTAGTCTCCACTACAGAAACACTAGCTAACTGCTAAAGGCTGATCAGGTTGATTAATGCTTTAATAATGGGAGTACTGATCACTGATCAGGCCGATCAGGATCATTATCAAATAATTGTACTAACTGCTGAAAGCAAGAACACAATGAAAACTAATATTTTCAATATAATCAATAATCATAATTAATCATCGATAAACTGAGCTTTGTAGTGAAAGAGCAGCTTAATTGATCATGAAGTTTACTGGAAGAAAGATTTTTGATCTCTGTTGAGCTTTAACTTTTTAAAGATTGAGAGTGTTGAAATTTTTAAAAGGTCGACTTACTGTGTTTCCATCAGGATGAAGAACAGGGTTTGGTCCCTGAGAGAGAGAGAGAGAGAGAGAAAGAGAGAGACAGACAGTACCTGTTCACAGGTGGTTTTTAGACGAATGAGTGTGTTTACCTGTTTGAGGTCACACCTGTGTGATCATCAGCTGCAGGTGTGACAGCCTCAATCACAGAGCTGTGAAATGACAGAGAGGCGCCACTCTGACTCACAACACAGACACTGAGCTCACAGACAGGCAGACAGACAGGCAGGCAGGCAGACAGGCAGATTTACAGACAGGCAGACAGACAGACAGGCGGGAAGGCGGGCGGGCAGGCAGGCAGGCAGACTGTGAATATCTCTTTTAATAAAACAGAGAGATGAGAACTTCAAACCAAACTCTGCTCAAAGCTTAAAATGAGTAAATTCTGAGTTCTGCAGAGACACAGAACTGAAAGGATTTAACCTCCAACAACAACTGGTCTGAGCACGCTCAGTGGCAACAAGGAGAGTGAATGGAGGTGAAAGTCTTTAATGAACATCAGCCAACAGGATCCAGCAGGGATTACACTGAGACCTCATTCTGGACTCGTTTCCATGACAACCAGAGCAGCGCCAGGCCAAGAAAAAAACAAAAACAACCCTTCTCACCAAACTCTATTTAAAAAAGTCTGGTTTTAAACTCCACTTCTGTCTGAGCACTCAAACCTAAAATAGGGCCCCTACTGCCCCCAAAATCCTCCACTGGCCCCCACTGGCCCCCACAATCCTCCACTGGCCCCTACTGGGGATACAAATACTCTGTTACAATGTTATCAGTGGCGGACTTGCCATCGGGAGCACCGGGACATTTCCTGGTGGCCTGGCGGCCGAACTGGCCCGCTCAGTGATTGCCGATGGTCAGGACCACGGGGTCGCGTTTGATTTTGAAATAAACAATCCGTCGTGCGGCTCATTAGGGTATCTGCCTCGCTGAAGCTCACACAGACAGAGCAGCAACGTTGGGCACAAACACACACCCCCCCCTCTCTTTTTCTGAGGCTCTCTGTCACAGCACTGCAGGCAGATACACACACACACACACACACACACACACACACACACACACACACACACACACACACACACACACCAAGTCGCGCCCCGTCCCCCTCCTCTCTCCTCCCTCACCTGTAGTTCTACATGCTTGAAAAATGGACAGAGATCGACAGCCCAAGAGGAAAGGTGGAGCAGAGAGGGAGAGGCTTAAAAGGCTAAAGGCACTGGCCACAAATGCAGCGAAGTACTGAAAAAATAACTGACATGTTTGTCAGTAAGGGAGCAGGTAAGACATTAAACACTAGTGGTGACAACAGACACACAACCAGAGCCTATCCAGCACCACTAGCTTAATGAGGAGGTTAGTTCCACTTTGTGGAAGCTGATGGGCTAAAACTGACTTAATAAAACAAATGTTTTAAGTTGTAACAAAGGATATTGCAGTTTTAGAATATGGTTAACTAACATAATAAATTATATGAATATTGAAATCCTTGTATTATATTATTTCATTTAACCTTTATTTAACCAGGTAAAACATTTATTTTGTAGGGGAAGAAAGAGAAAAATCTGTGTGTGGGCGCATGTGGAGCCTTTGCTTTATTATTTTACACTCTTACATCAGTAGGCGCCCAACCTAACTCACTCTTGGTGTTTTGTGTTAATTGGGTGGTGGTGGCCTGGGATGGTATCAAATTCCCGGCCTGAATTATTGTCCCAGTCTGTCCCTGAATGTTACTGTAGTAAAAGTACTAATACCACAGAGTACAAATAATCTGTTACAATGTTACTGTAGTTCTGTTGTAGATTTCAAGCAGAAAACTACATGGATTCATCTTCATCTTCATCTTCAAGGAAAAATGAAAACAGCAGAAGAAAAAGATCCAATCTCTTCTTCTCTGGTCTCAGGTCGGTTCTCCGCCAATCAGACGTTTGGTCTCCAGGTAACCATGGAGACGGAGAGTCTGCTACAGGATGTGAGGAATGTGCTGACAGTAAACACGACCCTGCTCGGGGTCAAAGGTCAACAGAGAGCTGATTATTCACAGGGAGGTGTTCAGTTTGCTCGCTGAGGTCTTCTTCTGTGGTGGTAAACTGCAGCAGGGTCAAAGGTCACAGCTCTTAATTTAAACTGAGATTGCACCCAGTCTGATCCTCGGATCTGCAATGTAGACAGAAGTCCATTCAAAATCTACTTGTTTTAAGAAGTTGTCTCTGAACTGGATTCCACCACTGAGAGCAGGAAGTGTTACGTCTAATGATGAAAGATTTTCTTCTTTTGTCTGTTTTTAAAACAATAAAGAAGTTTATTTTTCTTTTGTCTGATCAGGTTTGAGTGTTTTTAACCAACTAATTAGATTGAAAATCAGGATTTTATTGCATGAAGTCTGGTCTGACTCCACCAGAGTGTGCAGACGTTCACACAAAGGTTCCACTCAATCCTGAAGGGTTCCACTGTTCCTGAAGGGGTTCCACTGTGTCCTGAAAGGGTCCCAAAGGGTCCTTGAAGAGGTTCCAGGACAAGAGGCTGTTTCCATAGAGCTCATAGAGTGGGTCCTTAAGATGTTTCCAGGAGCCTCTGGGAGTCTCAGGGGTCATTTAAAGGGTTCTGGGAAACGTTCTTGGGTCCCTAAGAGGTTCCAAGGGTTCTCAAGAAGTGTTAAATGTTCCTTAAGAAGGTTCCATAGGGCCTTGAAGAGCCTCCATGTGTCCCTGAGGGGTTCAATGTCTCCTCTGAAGATCAGAAATGAACAGAAAGCAAAGAGCTGAGAAAGAGAGTTCAATCCAAACTGTTTACTGTGCTCATAAAGGAAGAGAGAACTCATTCTCCATTAGAGTGAATGTGATCAGTGTGTTATTGCTGTAAATGGAGCTCCCCCTGCTGACTGTCACACAGAATGCAGGTTGAACACACTGTCATATTCAATTCAATTCAATTCAATTTTATTTGTATAGCGCCAATTCATAACAGAAGTTATCTCAGGACACTTTTCAAATAGAGCAGGTCTAGACCGAACTCTTTAAAACAATAATTACAGAGACCCAACAGTACCACCATGAGCAAGCACTTGGCAACAAGGGCAAGGAAACACTGCCTGTTAAAGGGCAGAAACCTAGGACAGATCCTTCGGCTCTAGGTGGGTGGTCGTCTGTCTCGACCAGTTGGGGTGAGAGAGAGAGAGAGAGAGAGAGACAGAGAGAGAGAGAGAGAGCGAGAGACAGACAGACAGACTGGTGCACAGCAACAACAGTATTGGTAATGGCAATCTAGCAGGACCATGGCAGGAGGCTCCACCAGGATCGATAAGAACCTGCGAGACGAGAAAGCACAAGAACTCCGGGGAAGAAGTGAAGTGAACTCTTGAATGTGGTGAGGGTGTCTGCCTCCCGAACCACAACTGGAAGCTGGTTTCACAGGAGAGGAGCTTGGTAACTGAAGGCTCTGGCTCCTGTTCTACTTTTAGAGACTATAGGAACCACAAGTAGCCCAGCATTCAGAGAACGTAGTGTTCTAGAGGGGTAATAGGGTACTATGAGCTCTTTAAGATATGAAGGGGCCTGACCATGAAGAGCTTTATAGGTGAGGAGGAGGATTTTAAACTCTATTCTACATTTTACAGGGAGCCAATGCAGAGAAGCTAGTACAGGAGAGATGTGATCTCTTTTTCTAGTTCCTGTCAGTACTCGTGCTGCAGCGTTCTGAATTAATTGGAGCGTTTTAATGGACTTATTGGGGCAACCTGATAATAAAGAGTTGCAGTAATCCAGCCTTGAAGTAACAAATGCATGGATTAGTTTTTCTGCATCTTTAGTCAATCATTAGTGCTGAGTAATAGGCTCCTCTGGCATTACGGAGGGCCTTTCTATAAGTTTTAAGATTATCATGCCAAATTGAGCGATATTCTCATAATTTGGAAGAGCGCCATTTCCTTTCAGATTTCCTAGCTATTTGTTTTAACTGGCGGGTTTGGTGGTTATACCAAGGTGCTAGTCTCCTATGTTTTAATAATTTCCTTTTTATAGGAGCGATAGAGTCTAATGCTGATCGTAGTGAGCCTGCAGCACTATCAACAAGATTATCAATTTCAGAGGGACTAAAGTCGTTATAGGACTCTGTTAAATTCAGACATG